CTTGCCGCAGCATTCTTTGGCGTTGCAGCAGCGTTGTGAGAGAGCAATACTAAGAAGAAGTGATTGAGGGCCAATGAAGGGTTTGGAAATTATGTATAGTGAGCATGCATCGACAGGAGGGTTGGGTATGAGTGAATGTGGGTTTAACCTACATACATACACAATTGCAGCAATGCGTGCTGCAACGCTTCATATAACCTGGTGCTTACCCGCATCATCAGCCCCAGACTGCGCCCATCAAGCACGGGGTAGGGGGGGAGAGCAGCTGCTGCTCTCCGTAAGTTTAGCTATTCTAAGCGTTTTGAATCTGTTGCGGCATAGGCCGAGCTAGAGGACTGAGTTTGCAGCATCAGCTGCGATGAAAGCCTGCGTTAGCTCTAGCTCGGTAACCTAAGCTCGAGTCATATGCACTGCTCGGCACGTGTTGTGTTGCTGGCTTTCTTATCTTTCCCTTGTCTCTGTCAATCAATGCATGGAGGCTGCAGTATAAATATTTAGCCGTTGCTCGTTGAGTTGATGCTCGGGCTACCGGCACGCAGACACGGCTTGAAGGCAAAGGCTCTGTACTCAGCATAGGCATCTGTTACGACAGTGTTTGCCTCAAGCTACGTTGCACATCGCCTTGCCCCACCAACCACAAAGTAATTACGTAAAAAAAAAAATAAAACGAATTAAATTTCTACTGCCATTGCTTGCGACGATGAACAAGATACAAACCCCGTTGAGCTCCTGGCCTGCCCGGCAAGAGACAAGACAGAAACACGCACGCCGCCCGCCCGTGCACCCGTCTGAGCCAATAAAAACTAATCAAGCTGCCGTTACACTTCACTCTGCCGAGCATCCCTTCTTCATAAATAATTCAGATTTTTTTTGTGGTGGAAAGACGAAACAAATTTTTTTCAAGTGCGTAGCTGACCTAGGGCGACAATGCTGGCTCTCCGACTCTGCACTGTCGTCAGTGCCTTTCTCCTCTTCTTTTATAAAGTTGATGGGAGCGATGCGGGTGACCCTGAAGAGCCAGAAGTAACAAAAACGATAACATATGCTGTCAAACTGGGTACGCTGGCTGGCTGTGGGAGAGGTTCAATGCTTGAAGTGCTGCCTTCGTTGTACACACCCTACAGCAAGCCAGTACCGTCGACTTGACCAGTGGTCAGTGTAAATTTTACTGTTTCAGCACATGTTTACTAAGCAAGTCAGGGAGCTTGTTATAGGACTGTTTTGTTCCTCTCCATGCAGGAGAAGATGGCACATGCCTCTCCGAGATCAACGCTGCTCGTAAGAAAGCCGGCTTCAATGATTTCGTAATACCTCAAGCGGGGACGAAGGACAAAAGACTGCCTGACAAAGAAAAGCCAGATGCCGATAAGTATAACGAATGGGTCTGGAAGCCCGTTTGCGCAGCCTTGATTAAAGTAAGTTGTTTGCTTCGCTGCCCGTGCTTCCATACGGGTTGCGCGGTCTTAAGATCATTACGGCAGACCCTTGCGCTCTTGGTGCCTTCAGGAGGAAGCAGGAGAAGGGAGAGCTGATGAAGTTTCTAACACCTTCGGGAGCGGCACATACGCATACCATGCTGTCGATGATGCTGGTGCCCCGAACTGCACCGCCGTAGTGGATCACTGGAAGAAAGCCTACAGCAACTTCAGTGGAATGCCTCCATCGAGAAAGGATGGAGATACAGTGTACTCCAACCAGGACAATGTCTCTCTCGTTGCCATGTACAACCCTTCAGATGATGCCACTGCCGACTGCCGAATCGTCACCTGCACTAAAACAACCAAGACATCTACTACTACCCCAGAGAGACAGGCCGATCAAGAAGTTGAAACAGAGACAAAAGAAGGCTCTGCTTTGATTTGCATGACGACGCCTGACGTTCTTCCAGCGAAAAATGGAACTGCTCCATTCACGTGAGCTCCTTGAATTCAGCATCACACCCCCTCTGTTTGTTCAGGCAGACCTTGCACGGCCCTGCTTTTCTTTGCCCGTGTGAGTTTTGCAGAGAGGAGCAGTGGGGCCGAATCGTCAACGCCATTGAAAATTCCGCTTCGGCTCTCTTACCCGGTCTTCTCAGCCTTGCTGCAGTAGCGCTTGGCCTCGTGGCGACGATGTGAAGTAGCGCGATACGACGGGATGACCACTGAGGGCGATGGAAGTTGTTGATCATTGTGCACAGTATTAGCGAGAAAGCATCGACAAAGGGCGTTGGTAGGCACGCTTGTGGGTTTGCCCCTTAACAGGACTTGCAAATTGTAGCCATATGTGCTCCAACATGGCGGAATATGTTGCGTTTTCCCCGCATCATCAGCCCGACGCCCCTGTACCATTGTTTCCAGGACGGCTGGAGTATGAGGGGAGGTGTAGTGCATTGGCACTACAATGCATCGCTGTAGATACCTAGTGGACAAAAATGAGACGAAGATTTGTAACAATGTTCAAAATTTAAAAGTTAGTAAACCAAATCGTAG